CAGGCGGATCTCTGTGAGTTCGAGGCCAGCCTGGGCTACCAAGTGAGTCCCAGGAGAGGCGCAAAGCTACACAGAGAAACCCTGTCTCGAAAAAAAAAAAAAAAAAAAGCCTTACGGGTTTTCACTGATGTGTATATCTGTAGTAATTTTTATAGCATTCTCTTGACTGTACTGATAAGTATCAATAAAGTTTATGAATCTGGATTTGATATCATATTTTCACTGTTAGATTTGAGATTCCAGAGCCTGAGCCCACAGAAGCTGACCGCATAGCTATAGAGAACGGAGCCCAGCCTCTGAGTGCAGAGCTGAAAAGGTTCCGGAAGGAGTATATCCAGCCTGTCCAGCTGCGGTAAGTAGTGGGGACAGCTGGGGCGGCAGTAAACCGCACTTCTCAGATGTGTGTTTCAAAGTGGACATGTTCAAGAACTGTTCCCAAGCAAGGTGAGGGGAGCAAACGGAGTGCATTGATTCAGAGTCTCTCTGAGTTCTTAGAAGCTTCAGGAGACTGTTTACTTGGTGAGAGCTGCTGCTCTTGCTTCATATGTGTACTCAGTGTGAGATCTCATGTAATCCGGTTGTGTTAATGCCACAGAGTGTTAAATGTGTGTCGGCACTGGGTGGAGCACCACTTTTATGACTTTGAAAGAGATGCAGACCTTTTACAAAGATTGGAGGAATTTATTGGAACAGTAAGAGGTATGTCTTTTTAATTTCCTACTTGTGTATGTGATAAAATTACCAATGTGATTACCCTCAATTGATACCATTATAGCTGCTTTGAAAATGTTAAACTTGCTCATCAAACATCATTTCGGCTGGGTGTGGTGGTGCACACCTTTAATCCCAGCACTCAAGAGCAGAGGCAGGTGGATCTCTGTGAGTTCCAGGATAGCCAGGGTTACAGTAGTGAGACCCTGTCTCAAAAACCAGAACAATAACAAAACACAGGATTGACACTTGTAAATTGCTCAACAGTCATCCTGCTGACTCCGCACACTTTTGTCTGCTTTAGACCTGCTAGACCACTTAATTGAAACTGTGTGCACCTACTGCACACTCGGGAATTTTTTTTAACCACTGTAGCACCATTGATAAAGGTGCATAGGTAAATAGAGCAAATCAGAGAGATAAGAAATAGCACATTACACTGACAGACTACTTTTTAACCTCACCACTAGCCAGATGTGTAAGTTTGGTTCTTTAGACTTCAATTTACTCAGGAGAAACTAGGGTTGATTATCTCAGAGTCTCCTTTACTTTAAAAATGTGTGATTGTGTGACTTTAAAAGTGCCCTAGACAAACTTGGTTTTATATCCATTGTTCAGTCTAAATGAAAATCAGAAAATAAAGGGTTAAATAGATTACTTTCCTGTACAGTACAAAAGACAGCCATATCAAACAGGAGACTAATACGAACAATCAGTCCTCATATAATTGGGTTATAAAATACAATGTTAATGACATATGAATGTGTGTAATTTACTTTTATTATCTTTTAGTTTGTATAGAATATACCTTGGCTGGAAGGATTATAAAAATAGTATTTAAACTAAGGTTCAAAATGTTGGGAGGTGAAAAATCAAATTACTTTTTACATTTATTTAGTAAAGGTCTAGATATATGCCAAACTATTAACAATGATTACCTGTCTGGAGAAGGAGGAGAGGAAGATGGGGGAGGGGAACTCTTCGTATTTACTTGGCACATTTGAACTTTATAGCAATGATTTATTCATGTATCACCTGTATTACTTTAAACCTTTTTTAAAATAAAGTATTAAAGATTATTTAAATGTTTGTTAAAATGTATTTCAGGTAAAGCAATGAAAAAATGGGTCGAATCCATCACTAAGATAATCCAAAGGAAAAAAATTGCAAGAGACAATGGGCCAGGCCATAACATTACGTTTCAGAGTTCACCTCCCACAGTCGAGTGGCACATAAGCAGACCTGGGCATACGGAGACCTTTGACCTGCTCACTTTACACCCAATAGAAATTGCTCGACAACTCACTTTACTTGAATCAGATCTTTACCGGTATGTTGTTCAACATCCCAGCGGAGAAGTTACGTCAAGTTCATTTTAAAAATGGAGTACATGGTCTGCCTTTTAGGGGTGTCTTGAGATGTCAGTGAGACGGACGGTGTATGATAGATTTGTAGCATGAGGGCACAGCAGACAGCTCGGCCTTTTTGTCACCTTGGTCACCCTTGACCTACTTAACTTTGCGCTCTTTCTGCAGTTACTCCTGCTTGGTAAGCTCGGTTCAAATCCGGGCAGTACCGATTGTTGGCCTAAGTTTCTCTGTGTAACTTTGATCTTCGGCTTGGTTCCTACAAGGACAGTGAGGCCACAGACTACTAACTGTAGGACTGTGAGGTCCCAGGGTATGCCCGGGGCACAGCGCGGGCTGAGCACAGCGCAGGAACATGGGAACTACTGCTGTGTGAAAGTTAAGTCACGGCCAGTGACAGCCCTTTAGAGTTGAATGCTGTTCATCAGTGAAACTATCTGAAAAATATGATTCTGGTTTTAAATTCGACTTAAAATCTCAAAAGTATTATCACTAAATGAGAAAAGGAGCTAAATTTATAAATTCTTCCACCTAAGTTTGTCATGGTCTCCAAATGTTGATTAGAAGTTTAAATTTCATTTTCAGAGACTATTCTGCAGGATGTTTTTTCTTTTCTACCCATCTTAAGAGCAAAAACAAAAACACCAACAAACAAACCAGAAATGAATTTTAGTACTTGCTATACCCTCATTGGTTACTTATTAGATACTATTTAAATAACCACCTACCATCCTAAGTTAGTAAATACTATATTTTTTTAAAGATGTATTTATTATGCATACAGTGTTCTGTCTGCATGTATCCCTGCAGGCCAGAAGACAGTACCAGGACCTCTGGGAAAAAACAGCCAGTGCTTTTAACCTCTGAGCCATCTCTCCAGCCCCCCATAAACAATATTTATAAGTGCTAAGGAAGACATTATGTGAAAGTATGCAGTAAATAGAGAACCACCGTGGTGATATATGCTATAATGCTGACACTGAGGAGGCAGAGGATTGCCATGGGTTCCAGACCAGCTGGGCTAGATAATAAGAACCTAGCCAGGGCTACATAGGAAGACACTGTCTTTAAAAATTAGTAAATGAGCAAGCAATAAATGCATTATGTAAGAGTATCTACCAAAATAGTTTAAATCTGAAAACATAAAAGAAAAATTTGTAAATATCATGTTTTCACCAGCTTTCTGTCGGTGGACGAGGACTGCTCATAAAAGCAGTTTGGTTTTTTTCTTACGTAGTAAATACACTGAAGGGAGATGTGATGTGGCATTTTATGTTGATAATTTTAGAGCTGTGCAGCCATCAGAATTAGTTGGGAGTGTGTGGACAAAAGAAGATAAAGAAATTAATTCTCCCAACCTTCTGAAGATGATTCGGCACACTACCAACCTCACTCTGTGGTTTGAAAAGTAAGTGCTGTTGACATTTTTGTTTGTAGCAATGGTTAGGTATGAATTCCGGGGCTGGTTTGTTTCTCTCGGTCACATGTCTCTGGTTCTTTCATTCCTTTCCTTAAAGTGCACTGAATATTTTCCTGATGTGCATCTTAGTCTCGTTAATACTTGAGTTTCTAATGGTTGCCTGCAGCTAACCACATGCGTCTCCTTGAGCAGAGGGGCTACAGATCGATGCCTTCCCCGTGTGTCTGGCTCCCCCACTTTCTGCAGTTGGATACACCTCATAACAGTGCAGGTTCAGCAGTGCATCCTTCCAATAACTACTTTGCCGGCTGCTATCACCACTTAACCTTGAATGGCGCTTTCATCCTCTTTTTGTTCTGCTGTGGGCAGGGTATTACATTTTTGTACTATAGACCCAAGAGTACATCCATACCCATTAAATCAGTTGCTTTTTAAACCAGGTAAGAGAAAAAATGAGGGGAAAAATGGGCATTTAGAGTGGTTTTATTCTATAATTACCTTTCCTGGTGTTCTTGGTGTAGATTCACCTTACCCTCTGGGACCACTGGTTTTCAGCCTGAAGAGAACTTCCTTTAGTGTTCTTATGCAATGGGCCAGTAGCATCAGATGTGCAGGGTTGAAAAACTCTGCCCTAGTTTTGAACACTAGCTCTATCTTCAAATGAGCTCATTTTCATTCTGTCAGTTCATATCTACTATTGAGCTCTCCAGTTTTCCATTTCCAAGATTCCATTTGGTTCTCTCTGTCATTTTACTGTGTTCATGATCCTCTTTCTAGATACATGTTGTCATGACACCTTCCCTGTCGTCTTTACTGCTGTCCTGTAGTTCTGTGAACATGTTCTCTGATGTAACTTTGAAATCTTTCTGTTAATCTGACATCTGGTCACTCCCACAGGCAGTGTCCGCTCCCTGCTTTTGTTCCGGTGTGTAGGTAATAAATACTTGTGGTTTCTTTATATACTTCATGGCGGATACGGCAATGTTCAGTTCTGCCCTCTCTGCCCTCGACCGCTTGTTTCATTGCTCCTTGAATGTGAAGTGAACTAAGCAGGGCAGAGCTGGGGATGCCATAGTCACTTGGGGAAGGCAGGTTCCGGGACGGCTCACATCCGCTCCTCCCAGACTGCACACCCCAAGCTGTTAAAGGTTGAACTACTAATTGCCATGTTCACTCTTTTGTTGTGAACAGTTCCCTGGTAACACAAACTGCTGTGCAGAATAAGCCACTGAAATTCTGGCTTCCTGGAAGGTCAGGTTTCTAAGGTCCTTAACCAGCGGATACTTGCTCTAACCCCAGGAGGTTCCCTCTTCAACTGTCTTCCTGGCTCTCTTGAGCAAACTAAGTAATGCACAGTTGAGGCTATATATATCGTCCTGGTTTCTCCAGATTTCTTCTCAGGTGCCTTTCATGACAACTCCATTGCTCCTGAACACATCTTTAGGTTTAAAGTGTCCACCCTTTGTTGTAAATGGTAAGAGATTAGGAGCTATCTGTGTGAAATAGTTCTGGAGAGGAGAGCAGTACAAGCTCTTTCTAATGTAAGAGCTTAAGGTGAAGAGGCAGGAATCGTACTGTGGCTTCAGGTCCTCTTAACCAACTTTTGGCATGGAGCCACTATATCAGGAGCCAGACAAAGAGCTATTTTCTCAAAGTTCTAATTACCTACAGCTTCAGCCCATAAGTTGGCAAAAGGAAGGGGTCTTCACAGCTGAAATATTAAGTATTATAAAGTAAAATAAATTACTAAACTGCTCCAGGCTGTGGTGGCGCACGCCTTTAATCTCAGTACTCGGGAGGCAGAGCCAGGCGGATCTCTGTGAGTTCGAGGCCAGCCTGGTTTACAGAGCGAGATCCAGGACAGGCACCAAAACGACACAGAGAAATCTTGTCTCAAAAAAAACCCAGTAAACTGCACTCAGATAATGATCCTGCTCCTCAGGGTAGGAACCTAACAACTACCTCTCCCTAAAAATCCCGAGCTGTAAACTAGATGCTCTTAACTACAACATCTGGAATGGATTCTCCAGAGAAAGGGAGGTGAGGAGGAACAGTCTTAGTTGAAATAGCCCACTCTCTTCTTCACGGAATTATTTTATAGATTTTCCCAAAGAGACAATCTCTCATTAGCAGCTTGTTCTTAGGGCCATCTCCAGAGACGTTGGAGTACTATGAGTTGGGGTGGGTAGGTGTGGTTTGTTATAATCATTTTCACTGGAGTATTATAGAACCAAGAAGTGGTTTTTATATTTATATAAATATTATAATTTATATATATTTATGTTTTTATAACTAGGGACAAGAGAGAGATCTTAGCTTCGTATATTGGCTATTATTTTTCTGAGTAAAGGCAATGTATTTTGTAAAGATGTGATTTCCACAGTACTGGGAGTAGAAGAACAGGCAGCATATAAAATAGCCTGGATGAAGGCCTGAAGTAGTCCAAGTCACATGAAAGGAGAGTTCGTTTATATTGTCAGAGACAGTATACCTCTAAGAAGTAAAACTGGAATTTTCTCCTAAAATGTTGCTCTCTGATTTGATTTTAAAGTTGACATGTTTTCATTTACAGAAGCTCTTTTTTACCATAGTAACTGTGACATGCCACACTGGGAAAGAGAAATATAACTAATGAGATGTAGTACACTGTCCCTGGGCCTTTCCCTAATCAGCTAGCCAGAGTATACTTGTATAGAATTCTTTAAATATATAAACATGTTATGTTTAATTTGATAATAAGTTGCTTATTTTGATGGTTTCAAGTATAGTGGTTTTATTCTTAGTATTATGTTAGCCTCATAAAGAAATAATACAATCTGTGGCTTTACATTTTAAAAATTTAGTAAGATAATTTAAGCTTTGTACTTAATTTTTCTTAGATTATAAACTATTAATATCACTGAAAACTAGATTTAATTTTTTAAATGACAAATTATTAATAAGTTCTCTCAAACAGAAACAGAGAGTAAATGCTGATCAAACAGTTTTTTTTTTTGTGTGTGTGTGTGTGTGTGTGTGTGTGTGTGTGTGTGTGTGTGTGTGTTTGAGAAGAGGTCTCACTTTGTAGCCCAGGCAGCCCTGGAAGTCCCTGTCCTGCAGGCTGATGTGACAGCAGGCCTGCCTTAGTCACCCTAGTGCTAGGGTCTGCACTGTTGATCAACCATACTTAGCTGGGTTTTAACTATTTGATGGGAAAATAACAATATAACATATATTATATATTTTAATCTTACTCTGTATAATAAACTAATATATAGATTCTCAATATGTTAAAAACAAAATGCTTCTTTTAAAAAATTGTTTCTAAGTAGTACGTTTTGTTTGCTTCTTGTTCTGGGGAATTGAACCCAGAGCCTAATGCATAGCATACACTATACCACTGAGCTACCTCTCTTGCCATTTTTTTTCATTTTAGTAAAATATTTCAACTGACATTGCAATATACCAATGGTTATCTTAAGAGTTATTTCTACAAACATTGCCAATGATTTCTATACATTAGACATCAAAATTAAACTGGATATGCCTCAGAAGGCTGAGGCAGAAATATTACCAGTTCCAGGCCAACTTGGGCTACATAACAAGGCTTTGTTCAGGCAAACACAGAAATGAATCACTGAAATAGGACTGCGTATACACACACACAAAGGAAGCAAAGTTCTAGAACACACATTGCTAGAGCACACCTAAATGACGAAGATTCACACACATTCAGTAAGATCTTAGTTATTCTAATATTGATAAATAGAGGATGTGTTAAAATATTGGGGATGTGTCTGACTATAGCAGTCTGGATGTCAGAAAAAAGAGGACCATGCTCCACCGGAAGCCTGCCTTTCTCTGCAGTCTCCCATCAGTCCAGTGCATCCCTGTAAACGTCTTTTCTGTAGTCACACGGAAGCCACAGGCACTCTCTAGATGACTGTTTTATTAAAACTTTCTGAATCATAGCTTTTTTGGGAAAATTCAAATTTTTAATTCTTTTCTATTTCTAGATGTATTGTAGAAACAGAAAATTTAGAAGAAAGAGTAGCTGTAGTGAGTCGAATAATTGAGATTCTACAAGTCTTTCAAGAGCTAAACAATTTCAATGGTGTCCTTGAAGTTGTGAGCGCCATGAACTCGTCCCCTGTCTACAGGCTAGACCACACATTTGAGGTAGGTTGAACCTGTGTTTCAAATGAACTTGCACTGTTTAGTGTACCAGTAGGACTCTGCATGGCATGGCCGCTGTACTCTGAGCATCTGTGATGATCAGTGTAAGACTGTTCTAAAGCGGGCCATCAGCGTGGTGTCCCGGAAGCTGAGGAGGGGATTCTAAGGCCCCATCTCTTCCCCAGGGTATAACTAGTTAGTGGGTGCTGAGAGAGCGAGAGACCTTTCAGTGGTGAGGTCCGTGTTCCATAAACAACAGTCTCGCCCATGCTCCTGTCAGCTCCCCTGGTGACCTCAGCAGATCCCTGAGGACAGGACAGCGGAAGGGAGACTGGTTGGGAAGCAGAAGGGCTCCAGGGGAGGAGGGCCGGCCAGAAGGGCTGCGGGTGAATGGGGTCAAAGTGCATGGTAGACATGTATGAAAATACCCTAATTAAGTCTGCCATTGTGTATAATTAGGATATAATTATGATAACAATGATTTTTTTGTTTGTTTGTTTTTTTTTTGTTTTTTTTTTTGGTTTTTCGAGACAGGGTTTCTCTGTGTAGCTTTGCTCCTTTCCTGGATCTCGCTCTGTAGACCAGGCTGGCCTCGAATTCACAATGATCCACCTGCCTCTGCCTCCCGAGTGCTGGGATTAAAGGCTTGCGCCACCACTGCCCGGCCAACAATTATGATACTTAATATTAAATGCCTCATTTGTTTTTCCAATAATAGGTTAAAATATGGACTTACCTAAATTTCATAATGAATGGTTTCTCTTTTAAAATTAAGTGTTCCCATTCAGTCATGGGTTCCAACTTGTTAAAAGAAAAAAACATTCATCATTTATTTTCTTAATTTTGTGTGTGCACACACTCGAGTGTCTACCATGGGCACATGTGGCGGTCAAAAGGATTTTGTGGAGTAGACTCCCTCCTACCGTCTTGATGGTGTTCTGGAATCGGACTCAGATCAGCAGGCCTGTGCAGCAAGTGTCTTTATCTGCTAGCGAGCTTGCTGAGCTACCCTCAGTCGTCACACTCAGCTAAGTCACATGGATTGTATGAGGTGTGGCAAGACACACTGTCTCATGCACACTTCTAAGTGTGTGCTAAAGTGTATGAAAAAGGCTTTAAAAGAAGAGAAAAGAAAACAGCATTAACCAGGCCTTTAATCCCACCACTTGAGAGGGAGAGGCAAGTGGATCTCCATGAGTTTGAGGCCAGCCTGACCCACATAGTGAGTTCCAACCTGGCCAGGAATACACACACAGTGAGAGCTTGTCTCAAAAAAATAGAACTTAAAAAATAAAAACAGTACTAGCATTCTTGGAGTCGAACTGATATGACTGGGCCACAATGGTTAGTTGGGTATTTTTTTGGCAAGATTTGCAATCCATTGTACAACTGAGGCCTCCTAATTTTTTTTTTTTATTATAGCAAATACCAAGTAGACAAAAGAAAATTTTAGAGGAAGCTCATGAGTTGAGTGAAGATCATTATAAGAAATATTTGGCAAAACTCAGGTCTATTAATCCACCATGTGTGCCTTTCTTTGGTAAGTATTTCTTCCTAATTTTTATTGTGCTTCTGGATAAAACATGGCATTTTATTAAATGAGTATAGAAAATAACACCTGAATCCCTTCAGAATTTTTCTGTTAGGACTTTTAAAAAAAATCAAATCTATTATAGATTGAGTATCCTAAATGTAAAAGTCTACAATGTTCAAAAAAATGGAAACTTGTTTCAGTAATACCACAAGTGGCAAATCCTGTATCTGACCTTGTTTCAGGGGTCACAGCCAGAACATCAGTTCACTACAAACCCTGTCAAATAACCTTCAGCTGACAGGCGTGGTAGCACACGAGTGTGAGTGAGTCCAGCCTGGGCTACCAAGCAAGTCCCTATCTGAAAACAAACAAAGTACATCCAACGTGAGGCCTTACATAGATGTGTAAGGCAAGTCAGTCGATGAATTTTCTCCTTAGACCTGGAACTCGCACCCAGGATGACAGCCATGAGCACTCCAGACGGAGAGCAAGGCCGACCCTCCGACAGGACAGGCGGGCGCTGTTACGGCACCGTCCTTGCAGTCATGGACCCTGTGCTGTCACTGTTGCAGCCCTGCTTGCATCCCGTGGTTAGGGTAACAGATGTGCACCACCGGGACGTACCTTATAGTTAATCTTGATAGAGTAGAAGAAACATGACCATATCATTCATTTGTATTTAATCATTTAACAAAACACACGTCTAGATGGTCACCGTATGTGCCTTTGAGACGGTAACTCCGCACGTTGGGATTTTATTTTTACCCTGATCTCCCTCCGTCGCACTGGAGGATGAATGCCTTTCTTCCTTTCAAGACTGACTCTCCCATCTGAATTTATTGCTTCTCTTGGGTAGAGACTGCAGACTGGATCTTCAGTCTGTTGCCTTCTTGGAGATTCCTTTTTCTTCCACAGTTACTTATCCCCACATTATATATTTTCAGTATTTTTTTCATGCCCCATCCCTGTACTTTTCCCCCCACTTCAGTGCTAGGGATGGACCTCAGAGCTTGTACTCAGGCAAATGCTCTTTCTGCTGGGGCTATCTACACCCCAGCTCTTGAATCAGCCTCTCCCCTGCCCACATACATGCTCTGGTAAGCCTTCTTATGAAGAAGGTTAGTAGAAATCTCTCATATGTTTGACTTCTTCACTATTTGGCAAATTTTCTCCTAACGTTATCTTTATCTATGGTTTTTTTTCCTATGGAGTTTTAAGTTGTAGCACATAGAACAATGGTAATCCTGATATTTTCTTCAATGTATCTATTTTCTCATATTTTATTGTTGCAGCTTTAAAACTAAATATTTTTATATTTGCTTGGTTTTCGTTGTTGTTTTTTGTATGTTTGGTTTTTTGAAACAAAAGTTTCTCTCTATAGTCTTGGCTGCCCTGGAACTCACTCTATAGACCAGGCTGGCCTCGAACTCATAGAGATCCGCTGTTCTCTGCCTCCTGAGTGCTGAGATTAAAGGTGTGTGCCACCATGCCTAGCCTGCTTGTGGTCTTTTTGATGTGGAGATTGTATGTAATTGCACGCTATATATGTTACTTTTTTGCCATATCCATCTAAAGTATATTTTATACTTTAAATAATCTTCTCACATAATCATTTACAGTGGCTGCATCCTGTCCATAAAGTTACTGTGACTATTTCATCATTACCCTGTGACTCAATGTATTATCTCTAGTAAAGTCAACAGATCATTCACATACTCTGGGGTGATGCAGGAATGAGGAAAACAACGCTGTGACATAATGACAAAGAAGGGTGGGCTTCCCTTTTGGCCACTGCCCTTCCTTACCTTCCTAGCAGTAAAAGGTGACTCGGGATTCTGTGTCCCCTGGCAGTTTGCTCATACTTCGATGCACATACCTCTGCAATATGAGCAAAACTCTGGGAGAGTATCTTGTCTATTCTTAGCACCTAACCATGGGCCTGATACATGGAGGCATTCAACAGATGTTTTTTGAGTGAATGAAAGAACCACATTATTCAGAACAAAAGATCATTTGGCCACTTAGACCACTATTTGGTAGACATGCAGTCACATTTAGATCTACACATGCATAAACACATACACAAACATATGTTTCTTTCTTAAAGAATCAAACTGGGGCTGGAGAGAGGTTGAACAGTTAAAAGCACTGACTGTTCTTCCAAAGGACACAGGTTCAAGTCCTAGTACCCACATGATGGTTCTAACTGTCTGTAACTCCCTCTTCTGGCACCAACAGGTACCAGGCATGCACTTGGTGCACAGACATACATGCAGGCAAAATACACATAAAATAAAATAAAATATTGAGGTCTCTATCGTATGTACACATATACAAATGTTCCTTATGATTAAAAAGTCACATGCTTAAACATTTATATAGATACAAAGTTTGGACACTACTACCATGACTATATTCATTTGGCATTATCAGGCATAAAATACTTTTCCAACTTTTATCCTGAGATTTTCCAAAGTGCTACTTGTATTGTTATAGCTTCATTCAAGTGGTTTGTTTGTTTGTTTATAACACCTGTGAACATCCTGTTGTCCCATTTGGTCCCTGTACCATTTCTTTAGTCACATGAGCTCAGAGCCTTCCTGCTGTGCCCTGCCCCTGTCGAAATCGGGGGTGGGGGTGTGTGTGGGGGTGTGTGTGATATTCTCAGAGGCCAAGAGAGGGTGTCAGATTCCTTGAGACTGTAGTTAAAGGTGGTTAGGAGTCATCTGACATGGGTACTGGGAACCAGACTTGAGTCTTGTCAAAGAAAAGCAAGACCACATAACCACTGAGCCATCTCTCCAGTCCCAGTACACTAAATTCTTAAAGAGTTTACCTCTTAAATTTGTATGCCCTCTACTATCTCCAACCACACCAAGTATTATAGCCTGTATATTGCTCTTCTTTGGCATTCAGTGCAGCTAGCAATCCTAGAATGCAAAGATGTTTCTACTCATTAACCCTAGATGAAAGTTAGCCTTTTTTCTTCTTCAAGACAGACTCCTTGTGTCATCTAAGATGGCCTGATATCCCTGCATCACATGCCCAGAATGAAAGTTAAACTTTTTTTTTTTTTTTTTTTTTAAGATTTATTTATTTATTATGTATACAATGTTCTGTCTGCACATATCCCCACCACAGACACCAGATCTCATTACAGATGGTTGTGAGCCACCATGTGGTTGCTGGGAATTGAAC